TCTTTAACAAAGAATATTTTCTTAATAATAGTCTTAAAATAGACTTGTCACAAATTTTAGAAATACTCATTATCATGTACTCAAAAAAAGTAAATATTTTCTTTTGAAGAATATTATAAAATTTTATCGAAGAAAAGTCAGATATGGTTAATTTAATGTAAGAAAATTTATTAGATCAGAAAAATTTAATGTATTTCTTTCAATTATATAATTTAATATTCTTGATTGAAATATTAAATTTATTAGGATTCAGAATATATTTTGAATAAATTTGATGCTTATGATGAACTTATGATAGATTTGCGGATATATGAACTTATGAAATACTTGAAACAAGTAATATTTACTTGTATATAGTATGTATTTTTCTGTGTGTATATACGTGTACATTTATATGCAAAATAAGTTTTTATAAAACCATAGATTGTAGCTCTTTATCGAACCAAAGTTGAAGAAAGAGCGTGAAAATGCTATCTAAAAATCGTTAAATATATCTACACTAAAAATTTAATGGAACAATGGCAGGATTTCTAGAATCCTATCAGTAGAATTAGCTACAAATAAAGAAGGCAACAATTAAAAATTAAAAAATAAGCATAAGAATATATATGAATAAAATATGACAGTTTACGATATTCATACGTCGAAGCGTCGATCTATTTTTAATTTATCTTTTTTTATTTCAAATTAAGCGATGCGTAGAATAATCAAATTCTATAAAACGGAATTGATCAATCCGACAATGCGACACGTGACGTGCAATGCAGAAAATTTGCGTAATATGTTTACAGACGGCGCGTTATCTCGCCGTCCATCGGCGCGCTCTATAATAAATTAACGCTATTACGTACGACATTATCCGTCGTGGCGGGGCAACCAGTTTGCATAAGAAATGTGAGCGCGCCCATAAAGGCGCGTGTAAACGCGCTGTCGGATAATCACGGGTTGCGCTGTCGGAAGGCACGCGCCTCCCGAGTCAGTATTCTTCCCCATGTTCATCTCTCATGTAGGCAGCGGCAGTATCGTCATCGTCAATTTATGTGTATAGCTTTTCTCTCGTAAGATTTCACATTGGATAACAGAGAAGCGTTCTAAATTATGCGACGTAATACTGGAAAATAGTGTGCGCTAATAATCAAGGGAATATACGTAATCCAAAGCAAATATTTTAACTACAAACAAGAATTATTATATAACTATAATTCATCACCAACATAATATTAAAGAATAATTATGAGAACATTTAACCGTAAAAATTTAAAAAATTCAGTAAATAAAAATTTGTAAACACAAATAGACAATAAACTAATGGTATTTTTTAGTTTATTCTAAGCATTGTCTCAATAAATTTTCGAGATACAATATTTTAACGCAATATCGAATATTAGATATTTATAAATTATATGAATAGATAATGTTTTGTATTTTGCAGCTGCTTATAAATATTCTAATTATCTTATGGATACAATAAATATATTTTCCTCGTTTTTTTCTCCTATTATTTAAAGAAATGTCTTGATTGTCAATCCTAAATTTTATTTATCAAAAATGTAATAAACGGGAGGAATATTTTGCTGCATTCGTCGCATTTTATCGGAATACGCGCAAAAGTCGCAACGCGTCCTTGGACGCTCCGGTTTAGAGACTTCAATGCGCCGTGATGCACACTTTCGTGAGCCCAAGTAGTAATGGTCTACAGCGACGGTCGCTCGTCCGACTAATCCCGGTCCTCACCACTTGAAACGAACGTTAGACGCTTCAGAGAGCCTCCCTTTCCTTCCGAACCGAACGCTTGCGGTTGATCTAAGTTTAGCGAAACTTTACGTGTATCACACGAGATATGTACCTGTTGATGGAGGCGTGGCTAGGATTTCCCCACCAAACGCTATTCCGGTGGAGAGAAAGAAAGGAGGCTCACGCGGCGGGAGGATCTTTCCTGAATGCTCTGGAGGGGCATCTACAAGGAGTGGAGGAAGGTTCTCCGGACGCAAGAGCCTCTCGTGAAAGGTGTCAGAAGCGCCTCAATGTCGCGAGGGTGCGCGTGCAAAGGATGTGGCTACGCTAAATTTATCGTGCCAATCATCAATTTGTCGCATTTAAATTAAAATTTATTTTGCATTGACTTTTTTCTGGATTTGAATTTGTACTCTTCGTAGCATATGGATTTCTCTGCAATTTCTCTACAGTTTATTTTGTGAAACTTTGAACTGATCTAAAAGGCAACATATATCTCGTAAAAAAACATGCAATCTTTTTGAACTTACGCCGTAAGAATTAAAATAATCGAAATTTTTATAAAAATATTCGGTTTATGAAAGTTATCAGAAAATTTTCATTAAGAAATATTTGACATTATGATAAATGATAATTTTTATCGAGCTCATATTCTCTTTTATTATTTTTTATTCGTATTATTCACGATAATCCATTCAAACCTGTGCTTTTCAAATTTCTAAACACTCCCATCATGCAATATTTACTTCATTATTATGATTGTAATGTAAATTCTTTCACATAATCCTTAAATTGCATATTTATCAAGTCTAAATATATTGACTTATTTAATTGCATAAACCCAATATTAAATGTCGCATCTATAAATTTCGAAGCGGATAAGTAAATTCTACTAAATTGCAGCCCAACTTTATATAAAATAACGCTATAAAATAATTAAAATTTTCAATAGATTGAATTTACATAATCAAATCCGACTTTGCGACAGCTCAACAATCCGAAATTGATATCATGACCGATTCGTAATACATACGCGTATTTATCGGCTCGCTAAATCGGCGCGCTTGTAAAAGAGATCGGCGATGATAGCGCGGAGGAAATGAATGGAGAAATCACGGGGCCGTTGACTTTGGAGACATGGCGCCTCGTAAACATCGTCGAAGGCTCACGCACACGTGCGTGCATGCACTGGGAATCGAAAAAAAAAAAGAAGAAATAAAGAGGGAAGAAGACGCGCGCGGGGAGCATAGGGAGGGAGGGAGGGAGGAGGGCATAGAGAAAGAGAGGGAAACACGCCGAAGACGACGGTGGATCGCAAACGAGAGGATGGGAGCTTTCGAAACGAGGTGTAAGGTGTACCACTGGGTGCCGTGGTACACTTTGCCGTGAAATTATCGTCCCGCACGCATCGGCGGCCCGGCTCCGCCGTTCGTCGCCGACGACGGAATTTGTGGCCATGCCGGCGAATTTTCAGTCGACGGGCGAAACTTACGATCGTTCGAGTAACCCTGTTTTCATCTGGAAACAAAGGCCGCGTCGCATTAAATCAGGGACTAGTGATAGCTACGCGGCAAACGTCAATCGCGATATCCTATATGCATAAACTTTGATTTAAGAAATGTGCTTAATCGCAAATGTTTTCGTTTTTACGGAATATGGAGCAAATACCGTGGAAGCCTGACTTATCCGCGGATACTTATCTATCTCGTGTATATTACGTTCAGTAACGCGCACTCTATATATTTCAAATAACGGAGCACGAACGAAACTCTCTCGTATGCAGAAGACCCGCTATCAAATGTCGGCACCGCAATCGGTAACGTTGATCGTAAATCGAAAATCGTAACGGCACTTGGATCTAGAGAGTCCTCGTTATCGCGAGAACGGGACATAGCAGGCTGACTAGCTCTATTTTATTCTCCTTGACGGTCCACACCTTGGCGAAACACGGTTTTATCTCGACACGTCGTTGCGACAATCGAATAGATGTATTTGTGAGTCTCGTTCTTATCGTTCTTACATGTTGAATGATATTAAAGTAACATTTCGTACATTCTTATCATAATTTTTCAATACTCGATTTTAATGTTTATATCGCTATACAACAATAAAATTTTTAGTATAATAATCTGTGTACTACTAATACTCTGTCTTTAAATTAAACGTAAGATTTTTGTCACTCATTTATATTCATTTCAGGTATTCTGTGTAGTAAGCATATTACACGTAGCTTGAAAGACCATCGTATAAAAAGAGCAGAAGTTCAGTGAAAGGAAGTACGCGATTTTACGATAGAATTTCTACGATGTGACTTTCGAGCATATTCTAAAGATTTTTCGGAAACATCTTAAGAGCTGTCAGAATGACATTACGAGCAAATACGACGTGTCGCTGAAAGAAATTTATTTCTCATTTACACTCGAGGGCGAGGTCTCTTCAAAGAGAAACTTTCACTGCGCGTACACGTCGGATTAACGCGGAAGAATGCTTGTAGATCGGCGGTTTTACGCCACCCGGAAGCTCTCTAGATCCTCCAACCCACGCCGGGCCGACCTCGTTTTCTATCTACGGGAACGGCCGAGACGTTAGCTTTTTTTTGTGGATCCTAAGGCACCACCGGATGGTAGGTAAATCTTTCAGCTGTTTAGTAGGTTAGTCGGCCCACGGCGAAACTTCGTTCGTTAGAGGAACCGTTACGTCCTACAACGACCGGTGGTGCCCTTCCATTGTGCGACTGCTCGCTCCATTGTTACCACTTCTCCCGGCGAGTCGTGATCGCGCACGTGAGTTTTCCGACTCGCATTCGCCATGTGTCGTACAATATGGTACTGTATATATGACAGAATACATGTGTATACTTTCAACAATTATTTAAATTATCAGTTAAATTGCGGATCAAATACGGTTAACAATTGTTTTTAAGAATATTTTACAATTCCTAAGCGCGTCTAGAGTCCATTTATTATAACTAAATTATACTTGAATTTATTTCTCGAAGAATAATAAATTAAAATTTCAGTACGCCATAAAAAATGACATGAATAATTAATTAGTAAGGTAATATATTCTTCCCCTCCCTCTCTTTCTCTTTCTCTCTCTTTAATTATTTCTTTCATTTTAAAATAACTGTTGTACTTTATCGTCTCGTTAAATTATATGTTAGAGATTTATTTTTATTTAATTTAAGCATACAGAGAAAATGAATACATGTATGTTAGCATAGATTTAATTTAATTTTATAACAAGATAGAGAGATGATTACTCACCGTATCCCTGCATTATTCCATGCGTTAAATATAGCGGGGCCCTACCGGCAAATGCATCCTTCGCAAAGGCCTGCCTTACCAGCTGAGGATCCGACAGCAAGATCGTATAAACCGAGCCCATTCGCAGCCCACAAATCGGTCCATACTTCCTCGCCAGATTTGTCAGCGACACATGAGGACGCTCGGAATCTATCCATGGCAAATAACCGAGCAGCGGGATGCCGGATGGTCCCGGCGGAAGTCGAAGCCTTTTACGACGAAAAATATAAATAGAAAATACGAGAGAAATGCCGAGGATAATATGTATGAGGAATATCATTGTTTAACGTGGAAAGGGAAGCGATACCGCGGCACCTGCAAATTAAAGAGGACACTGTTGAATGACAGTAATTTGGCGAAAGCAGGATATTATAATTATCATGTTGCAAGATTTTTATGTAAATGTGTAGCTGTTACATGGGACGATGGCATAGAGAGAGAGAGAGAGACATATATCGATAAAAAAAGTTGATATAAAAAGTTATAATCAAATTATTTAGAACTTGTACATCTCGCGAGAAATGTGCTGTTACATGGACGTAATAAATCACGTAAATGTTCCGCGCGACGGACGATCTTCCATGGTGATCGTAAACGCTTCTAATTGAGGGAACGCGATTGCAGCTTCCAGAAATGGCAACGACAGAAATGAATGATAAACACCTTTCTCTGCGCCTACGGCGTAACGTGCATGTGTAAACTCATCTCATTATCAAGACTCGCGCGCGCGCACGTGCAATCGCGAGGAGGACAAGGAACGGATTCCGTGCTGCGACTACACGATATAGGCCGACACGTGGTCAAACACGTGCCGGCGAGTCGCTGATGAATCGAGGAAGCTTACTTTCGATGGTGCATCGCCGGTAGAACTTTTTTTTTTTTTATAGCCATCGTCACTTTGGCTCGCAAATGTTTAGCGGTTATGGCATTTTGTATTTTTATTCAATCTGTCACGGTATTATAAGTCGATTCTCTTTTCTGCGTTTAATTGAAAACAATTTTTTTGCGCGTAATGCCAGAGATCTTCAATCGTGGACAGCGGCATTTTCTTTACAATTTTGATATAAAAATAATCAATTGATTATTATTAAATATTTATTAAAATACAGCAAAAAAATTGCATTTAATCTAATATAAAAACAATATTTCTTTTATTTTAATCATTTTCATAAAATAACTTTAGGTATTTGTTAAATAGCACGCATGAAACTTGTTCTAAACTATCTTGGATACTATTGAAACTATTACACATTTTTACAAAATTTTAATAATAATTTTTGAGGTTTTAATTAAAATTCATCTTATATACCGTGGAAATTATGTTCTCTCGAGTAAAATATGATTTAAAGAACAAAGATACTTTTTTATGTATAGCAGTTATATAAGTTGTTGTGTAGAAGACTCAGAGAACGCGAGTGTTGAACAAAACTCACCAAATCTGCAAACAGCAAACTTTTACTACAGAAACTATAGCAGCCAGAACATGCACATCTTTCTTGAATAATATTATAACTAGCAGGAATTATGAGATCTGAATCTGCAACAAAAAACAGAAGATATGTAATATTATATAGATAGATATGTAGACAGATAATATATTTATATATTTATATTTACATGCGGAAAATAAACAAAAAACGGAAATTTACACGTACAACTATCGCTGAAAGATAAATATTATAAGAAGGAATATACGAGATGTAACTTCGACCGCAGTATCGAGCTAAGTGTCGTCGCGAGACTTGACGAAAGTGATCCCGAGTCGTTTGACTACCAAATGATAACTGCTTTGTGCTGCGACAGCAAAGATTTTCTGTGTGATATTCGATGACATTAGAGTAGACGTTTACGTTTTCAGACAGGTACCAAATCTTCTTCAAAAAAATATAATTGTATATATAAAGCATTTTAATTTTAATTAAAAAAAGCTACAAAATATTTTGTAAAATATTATTAAAATATATAGAACATTGAAATATTTTTATACATATATGTGTATATGTGTGTGAGCCAATGTATAATTGATTATAATATTTTTGAATATAAATAGGAAAGAGAAAAAACAAAATCTTTTTATATCAATTTATTTTCAATAAAGATTATCTTGATAAACTATTAAATGTATGATGCAGCGAGAATAAAGATTAATTTTCGTAACACATGAAATATCGCCCAAATTTCTGCATGCGGCGCCTATGTGAAAAGGAATTTCTTCGCACAGAAGGACCCTTTTCGACAGACTAGTCGGATAAAAAGTTACGTATCTACCTGACTTAACAGGTCTTCTGGTTTGGCTTTTATGAACTAAGCCGTTCGCTTTATAATTTATCGAGATGTTCGCGCACGCACACATGCACACAATTTACGACTAATTAAAGAACATTTTGAAAATAATTCGCGTTAAGAATGAATGAATCTAGATTCAATTAAAGATCGCATCTTTTTATACATTTGTATTTGTAATGAATAAATAAAAAATCCGTATATAACTAACCAATCTTTTGTGAGTCGCGTTTATGAGATCACGAGAGAATATTATAAAGTAATCCTATATAATATCTCTGCGCATAAACACATGCACACCCCAGAATACCAACGACCCGTTGCCCTTACACACACGACTGATCTTCTTGGCTCACCTTACGAGTATCCTGTGTGCACTCACCTCCGCTCACGTGCGAGCTATCGCTCGCCTTCGCCAATCACGTGCGAGTTTATACGTCGATCGCGTCTCTCTGGGCCGAATTCAATTTATATTGGTACGTGCCCGAGCGCTCGAGTTAAACCGAAAAAATGAAAACGAGGAAGAGTTGGACACTTCTTTTTTTTCTATCGTGACCTACTGCCCGCTTGAAGAAGTTCGGGCAGAGAAGTTTCAATTGCCAAAGTGCCCTTTGACCTCTTGGAAAGCTGCCTTAAAAAACTCGTTGGCGAGAAACGTTTCTACTTTTTGTGTACTAATACTTGGAAAGCATATAAGAGAGAAAAAATAAAAATTCTACATTATATGAAATTAGTATTCGAAATATGTATATTACCGATTTACTTTTTTGTTAAAATCGCCACTGTTAAAAATAGAATATAAAGGAACCAAAGTATGCGTACACGATATAAATCTTTTAAATAATATTTAAATAATATGAATATTTTCTGGTTGAGATACGTAATCTTGAAAAATATTATATAATTAAATTTAAATATATAATACAACATGACGACGTTTCCGTAAACTTAATTTATATTTTGCATCAATCAGTTCTCCTCAACTATAGTTAATGTAACCCATATATAATTTTTGTATTTATGTAAGTGTGTATATATTTTTACATACTTATATATAGTTTATATTTATCGTTATCAAAATTTTAAAAGAACGCTGTATTAGAGCGTGAATCTGATTTATTCCTCGCGCACGCAATCATATAGTAAAATCGAGCAAGCCCTTTGTATTGAATATTCGCGTTTGCGGTAATGCCGACTCTTTTTTTCAGATTATGTTTATCCAACAGAAGGCATTCGCTTATTTGCCTTGATTGGAAATTGAGCGGACAGGCAATCGACTTTTGCGAAAACAAAACTTATAATCAAAATTGAAAAATAATACAATTTTGATGTATTCTTTCCTCTTCCAGTTGCAGTTTGGGAAAAACTGGAAACTTACAATTAATAATTGACTTATTAATGATTGATTATTAATAAGTGACCCTTTCATTTGATATGTTATATATATAGTTCATCTTGAAATCAAACTTTAAGGAAAGCGCGACGAATGTTCGAATAAACTCGCGTGGTGGTTACGAGTGGCGCGTGCAGAATTCACGCTGGTAAATCATGCATTTGCGAGCATATCGCGCATCGCGTCTCACCGGCATTTCGTTTCGAGGATATTGCGAGAGGAATGGACCGCATGATGGGCGCGCCACTTTCCCTCCGTCATAAAATGGACTGGATTGCGGAGGAGGAAGAGGAGTCGAAGAGAAGCCGCGGGAGAAGGTGACGAGGAAGAAGAGGAGAGACATGCACGCGGAGAGGAAGAGGCCGAAACGTGATCGGTCGTGCACGTTGCCAATAATCGAATGCACTCTTCGGCTGCGATTCGCACGCATTGGAAAACGTGAGGCATGTTGATGATCTTCGATCCTAGCAATTGCCTCCTTTTCGGCTTGCCTCTTCCGCACCGGTGGCGATATCTGAACCGC